ATTGAGCTGCTTTGTCACAGTTAAGACCCTCTGATGAATAGGGCTCAACTACACTGTGCAAACTCTGACTGTCAGACACCTATAAACAGATTTAAGGAACAAACAATGGTGTTAAGAGGTTGTAAAGAACTATATGTGTAAATGAAAAGAAAAATGTTAAATCTCAAACCAACTTCCACAAAAAAAAGCCGAGTGCCGAGTGTTTTCACTACCTCAGAGCTGATGTTATCAGCCAAGTCTTGCTGGGATGATTCACCAACTGCAGCTTGTACTGTTTCTGAGATGACGCCTGTAACTGATCCATTCTTGTTCTGTGTGCACGATCTTTTGTGGTTTCTAAGAGTTCCTGCCAGTGAGAAGTGCCTTCCACAGTCCGTGCAGGTGTACGGCTTTTCTCCTGTGTGAATCCTGGTGTGCCTCCGAAGTTCTCCCGGAGCTACAAAAGACTTATCGCACTGTGTGCAGCTGTACGGTTTTTCTCCCGTGTGAGTCCGCATGTGCGTCGTCAGAGTCCACTGCTGTGCAAATGTCTTCCCACAGTCAGAGCAGTGGTAGGGTGTAATGCCAGTATGGAGACGCTCGTGTCTCACAAGTGTACCCGACAAGGCAAACCTTTTGTCACAGAAAGAGCACTGGTAGGGCCTTTCTCCTGTGTGAGTCCTCTGATGATCTCTAAGCTCAGCTGCTGAGTTACAGCTCTTTTCACAGTCCGAACAAGGAAACTTCTTCCTCGTAAAGCCAGCAACAACCTCAGAATGCATCGCCTCTAAGTGAGTTTTCAAATGCCAGTGTCGGGAAAAGCTCTTCAGACAGATGGAGCAGTGATACGGCCTCTCACCAGTGTGAGTCCGCCGGTGCAGTCTGAGCTCACCCTGACTGGCAAATCTTTTTTCACAGAAAGTGCATGGGAATGGCTTTTCACCAGTATGGACCCTTTCATGGATCATGAGCAGCCCCTTTTCTGGAAATCTCTTCTCACACATGGAGCAAGGGAAAGGCCGCTCTCCTGAGTGAGTGCGAAGGTGGCGCTGAAGCTTAGAGGCGTAAGGGAAGTCTTTCCCACACACTGAGCAGCTGTGAAGAGACGGTGGTTTCTCGTTCTCGCTTTGATCAAATGTCTTGGAGGGAGGCTCTGCAGGTACATTGACAGGGATTGCATTCTCTCCTGCATGAACAAAAAGATGAGAAATCGTTGTATTTAGGGAAAGAAAAATGATGAAAAAACACTTTTTCAGTTTATCATACCAACAGTGATGTTGATGGTCAGAGAAGTCGTAGAGTCCTATATACTGTGTGTGATGATAATAATTTACTACTATACAACACTCAGTCTAAAGTTGTTCTTTTAGAAAAATCACTGCATTATTGCACAGTCAAGTTATCTCACAAGTACAAAGTATTAAATTTGAAAGAATTAAAAGAAAGAGCACTTGTATTGAGACTTCATATCTGTCAGTACCCTAATTACGGCATCAGAATCTGGGAGAGAAAAAGTAGGATCAATGTCACTCAACTCTGTGTGGGAGATGTCAGACATGGTGCATTCAGGTACCTTAATGTATTCACATCGTAATCTAAGACAGATCTGTCAGACTTATAGAATAGGTTCTCTGTTATTGCACAAGTACCAATCATAACTGAATTGAATCCAGGTGTTGAAACAACATTTTATATATCCACAATAAACATTACCTCAGTTAATATGTTCATATTTTCAAACTACTACTTACATCGCACTGAATCAATTCTATGGCAAGGAGGTTTGCAGCGGTATACCATGGTATGAAAATTGACAGTCATCATACCATGTACATTATCTATCTAAAGTATTGAAAAAAACAAGTGAAACTGGACAGAGAATCTCACCCTTTTATTTATTTTCAAAGGGAGACTTTTTACACAAACTTCCATAAATAAAAAGGTTTCAAGTTTTATCAGGACAAAATATTTAATTTTTTTTTTTCTGTTTTCATTCCTTCATTTAAGGGTCATTGTAAATGATAATAATAACGTATAATAATAATTATAATGGCGTAATACGACTGCATTACAATGTAAGGGGGCTCTACGTTTCCCGTCACATCACTTTATACTTTGCTGTTACAATTTATTTGCTCACTGAGATCTGAGAAATCCACTTCTTCCCCATCCGAGTTGATCAGGCCTCCAATTTCCTGCTGGTCTTCCTCGGCGAGGATCACAGCGGGTCCAAAGTCCTCTGGGTTTTCAGAGCCCATCTCTCAAATATACAACCTTGTAGAGATGAATAATCAAGAGTCAGTAAATAAACAGTGAAATAACAATTTATAAGTGAATATATATACAGTACATTAAACACTCACAAATTATAAACATTAGTACATTAAATTAGCTCACTAATCTAATATTGGCTGTGCTTAAAATAATGATAATCACTTTAAAGAGATCATCCAGTCTTGCATTCATGAGATACAGTAAGAAACTATGTGATAGTCTTACTCTACAAGGGACTTCCAAATCCATTTAACTGTTCTGAGCCCACATTCATCAAGTGTCTCAGGCTACATTTTTTAACACTACAATTTTGTGCTAAATGGGCTGTGGTCTAATATATATAATAGACAGATTTTAATCAAACCAACTATATCAGTGAGCATCTTCCCACTCATTTCTGTCACTCAATTTTTGTTTTGTGGCTCCTTAAGGAATTAAGAGAGGCTAATTACAAAATGGCAAATCACTAAACAAGGTTTAATTCTTGCAAGACCCCAATAATAGTCCCAATCACACTTCTGCACAAAGTGACCAAACTTATTAAACACAGAGTGAAAGTACTGTATCATACAGAATGTTGTGTTATACACACAAATAAGTATTTTTATTAAAAATGATTTTAAATGTTACGAGCATAATCAAGCCTGTCTTGATTGACAAATCTGACAGCCAGAATGATAAAATTTTACTTTCCTTTATTTGTTAATGTATGCAAAATATCATGTTCAGGGTTTTTGTAATTAGGTTTACAAGTTTAGAGGAATTGTTTCAATCACTTGTGATCTGCTTGTTGAAGTACACTATTGTTTCAGACATTTTTTATAATTCACAAAGAGCAACATAATATATTTTAACCAAGGTGTTCTTTATCTCATAGTGCTGTGATTAAAAAAAATCCCCCATGGATTCATTAAGTAACTGTCCTTTCTTATTCCATTCTGGTTCAGATTTACGTCCTCCAGCACCAGATCTCTTTTGGGGGGTCAGCTTCAAAACAGTGCCTTCACCCTGGGAGACATCCATTGTCCTGCTCAAGGACACTTCAGCAAGGCGAATGCTTTGTTGTGATGGGGTCTTGAACCTGGCTGGGCCTGATGGACAGTCTACCTTAAGATGCCCTAAAAATGTTGTTGTTTGACAAATGGCCTGTTCCAGTGCAACATTAGTGGTTACGGAACTGTTCTAGTGTGTACTGTCACAATGATCTACTGTGCTTTAAAGTGGGTAGCCCTCGGGGGAAATCTTAAATGGTGCATCTGCACTGAGCAGCCCAGTTAGCCCTGTAGCATTAGCTTGGTGGGACTCGTTTTTTCTCCATCCATTGAGGTCTCACATTAACTGTAATTCAAGTTAGATAGCAACCTAAATGACTAACCTGTTGGTATATATGGTGTCATAACATCAGTTACTGCGGAGAGCAAACGCACTCCGCAGTACAAACACCAGTAACGTTGTTTGACCTCTCAATGAGATGTCTCAGTCGTGACCAGCGCTTTGGTCAACGACCACCTCTGCCTTTGAGAAAACTGTTATTAGCCAGCTAGCCACACTAGCGTTCCTGATGTTAGCAATTCCTTAACGATTAGCCCCCCTAAGCTACAGCCGCTGATCAACAAAAACAAATAACAGTTCTGACAGATTCCCCATCGAGTCCAACCTGATAATAATACGATATTTCTGCTGCAAGTGTCACCTCAGCTCGTGTAACCCTCGCTATCTTAGCTAGCTAACCTTTAACAGACAATAGACATTTTGACCAACCTCAGCATAGATTTTTCCCTCAGGTAAAAAGTAGTCGCTCGACAGAAGTTTATTTAAACGACTTGGCAATATTTCTACTTCTCTCTCGTTTTCATGCTGAATATGTTCAAACAAGGTGTCAAATTAATGCCATCTAACTATCGAGTTAAGTTAAATAAGCGTTTGGATCAGATGGTAACCTTTCTAGCTTTAGCTGCTAGTCACTTACAGTAGTCTCGGAACTTCCGGTTGGCTTTTTAAAAATCACAATAAAAGCCCCACTAATATAACTTCTCATCTTAGTATAGTTTTCTACAGATTTATGGAAACACACATACATATCACGTAAAATAATGCTCACACAAATTACAACTACTCAGCAATCGCTCATTGTTAAAATATACAAAAATACGGGATAATCCAGCTGCTCAATGCTTGTCAACAATAAAACAATACTTAGCGTGTTTACATTAACATTATTTTGTGTAGTAGGCCTTCTTGAACATATTCCTCTGCAGTTGGAGTAAAGAATAAAAGCCAAGAAAAATAAACTAACTCTTTGGGTCAAAAACAGTAAAAGAAGCAAACTTTTTATTTATTTACTTTTATCCTTGATGCCTCCCTCTTAAGTTTTTCTAGGCATGTTGGTAAGTTAAGGCGATGCCTCAGTATCCCAGAACTGGAGGACATTGCTAAGGAATAAAAATCTTCTGGGTTTACTCTGCTGAGAACCACATAAGATGCTAAGCAGTGAATGATTGATGTCTAAATAATAAATCATTAGCAAACTGAGGTGCAGGAGGCACATGCTCAGGAAAAAATATGTGGCGTGGGAAAAAACATTTTCACAGCAGACACTTTCAGTTGGTGTAACTAATGCCATTCTAGTGTGCTGCATTGTGTTACAGTAATTGCTGGAAGCCACAATTAAGGGTATTGCATCCAGCTGTGCTTTTCCTGCTACGATTGAAATGCTAAATTTCTTCTATAATGAAAGAAGAGAGCTCCGATGTTAACAAGGCTCTTAACATTATTAAAATGAAAACATGAAGTTCATACTCTTGATGTTATTTCAATATAATGCTCCCTTTGTTGTTATTGTAGTTTGCCCACCACTGGGGCAAAAAAGTCACGTGAAATTCATGTTTTTATACATTGTTTTAGTTTAGCCTAGGGGTGTGACAGAAAAAGTTTGAGAAACATATGTGGATACAAAAATGAATTTCCAACAATGGTAAAATTAACGTAAACACTATTATCCTGCTGCGTGATAATCTAATGCAAAACGCATCTTATATGTATGTACTATGTATAAATAAAAGGTTCTGACTAAAATAACAAGCATACATAAAGTAATTAGATGCCACTTATACAATATATTTTTAAGTACAGGCTTTTATTTAGTTATTTTTTTTCAAAGAATGCAGTAAAAACCTTTTCATTTGTAACGCACCGATTTATATTGTGATCTGTGGAGTGAAATTATTGGATAAAACTCTGGTCAAAGGGTCAAGTTTAGGTGAATCACAAAAAAACTAAACACAAAACAACGAACAATTCAGAATATCATGATTTATTCTCTTAAATACTTTAGTCCAATATAGGTAATGGAGTTTACCAGTATATCATATTGCTTGGCAAATCACTTCAGCCATTTGAAAGATATTTTATTACACAAGTGATAGATTGGCAAAATGTAATACTTTTTCCCCTTTTTTTTTTTCAACCACTAATGGCTGTTGTTTTGGTCTCCCCAATGGTTTTGTGGGAGCCTTTGGCTTCTTTTCGTGAATCTTCAGATGCGTTCGATAGCCTTGAGAGTAATAGAAGCACTTGCCACACTTCTCGCAAGTATACGGTTTCTCTCCAGTGTGAACTCGAAGATGAACTTTCAGATCACTTGCTTTAGAATACCTTTTGCCACAGATTGAGCAGAGGTGAGGCCGCTCTCCGGTGTGAGTCTTGAGGTGCACACTGAGGTGGGAGGATTGCGAAAATGCCTTCCCACACTGATCACAGTGGAAATTCTTTTCTCCAGTGTGCGTCAACTCGTGTTTTTTAAGTGAATCTGCTGTGACACAACTCTTTCCGCACTCTGAACAGATAAAAGGTGAATCTCCTGAGTGAACACGCTTATGTATTTTAAAATAATATTCATTTTTGAATGTCTTGCCACAGTCAGGACATGCGTAAGGCTTTCTGTGACTCTGGCGGTGTTCCTCCAGCTGCTGTTTCTGAGGGAAGTCCATGCCACACTCTCCACACACATGAACTGTTACAGCAGATTCTTTAGGGACACTCTTCTCTTGCACTAATGTCCAAGTTGGTAACTCTCCTGTGAGAAAAACAAAGACATTTATAGTTCAATGTGTTGCACTTTTATTGAACCACCACTGTCAGAGTATAAACTGTTCCACAAAAGAGACATGGTTAGCTGTTATGAGAAAGGAGTCGATGGTACTGTGTGTATTTTGTGAACATTTGTCCCTACAAGTTATTAAAAGTAATAACTGTGTGAAAAACACACAAGAGCTTGCCACAATCATCTCATTAAAAAAAATCTAATTGAAGACAAAGGAGCTTGTGTTGCCTCTGACCTCTGTGTACTTTCATGTGTGTTTTGAGGTTTCCACTCTGGGTGAATCCTCTTCCACATATGAAGCACTTGAAAGGTCTTTTCCCTGAGTGAATCACAAGGTGTCGCTGCAGAGCAGTGTTGTGAGAGAACACTCTTCCACAAGTCAGACAGTCGTAGCTCTTTTTGAGTCTGCTAGGCTCCTGTTTTTTTTTAGGACCCGCAGACAGCTTTTCCTGAGGCTGTTTGTGGGAGCCGCTATGTTCAGGATCCGGCTGTCTTAAAGTTTCGTCTAAAAGAAAAAAAAGGCAGTGTACATACAGTAAGGTTTTCTAAGGAGCATTTATAAAGCAACAATAGTAGCAGGTCTGATTAGTCACTTCGGGGCAGCAGAAACTAGATGTATACACAACACTGACATATTATCACCTCATAAAGTTAACACAGCAAACAAAGTTGATTTTTCACTGAAAACAGCAAAACGATGTTGTTGAGTGCGGTGCGGATCTGCTTTGGAATCAAACACACACACACACACATATACTGTACTGTATATTCTTAAATGTTTAAAGATAGAAAAGTTGCACAACGCTGCTGACATGCTTTGTTACAGTCCCCTCCAAAAGTTTTGGAACAGTAAGGCAAATTCCTTTGTTTTTGTTTATTTGGGTTTAAGATCAAAAGATGAGACAAGAGTTCAGAATGTCAGCTTTTATTTCCTGGTATTCACATCTAGATGTGTTAAACAACTTAGGACATATCACCGTTTGTATTAGACCACAGCATTCTTTGGTGAGCAACAGTAATGGAACAATTATCTTCAAGTAAATAACAAGAAACATCTGTCAGTCACGTTCCAATAGTTTTGCTCACATGAAAAAAGGGTGGGTTCAAACAAAGGGTCCTGAGTTGTTTAACACATCTAGATGTGAATACCAGGAAATGAGAGCTGAAATTCTGAACTCTTGTCTCATACTCATCTTTTGATCTTAAACCCAAATGTCCTCAGTGAACAACAAAAACAAAGGAATTTGCCTGCTGTTCCAACACGTTTGACTGTACCTGTGAATGCAGGTATCTTTCCTGATGTTCTGTAGATTACTTTGAAACCACAGAAAGATTTTATTTTAAAGCTCAAAGAGCATATTCCAAATCATAGAAGAAGAAGAAGAAGATATACTTTATTAATCCCGTTAATAAAGGGGGAAATTCAATGTTTTCACTCTGTAATTATTATGTTAGTATTTACACACAGGTCCGAAAGACACACACATGCACATGCACAAACAGGACCCATAGCAACACACCAATACATACTCAATTTTAACAACAAGAAACACCAAAGTGCTTATCTCAATTATAAATCAGTAAATTGTTTCCATTCACACACAAAAAACATAATAGCATTTCAGTCAACATCACCTGTAGTTGCTGTCCTGTGGTCATGGTCCTGTTCAGGTCTGTGTTCTTCATGGTGATTTATTACTGCACCCGCCTTGCTCACAAGTATTTTCTTTGATGTGGTGTTATGTGGGAAGGGTGTGGTGAACCCGAGCTCACAGGGTGGTGATACAGATAAACTCCCAGAAGGCCATGAGGGCTGCTCTGCTGGACAGCTCTCTTTAAAGTGCTCCTGATCCTGTGATCATGAGAGGTTTTAAATTATCATCATGTGTCTGGATATGGGTTTTAATTTATTTGTTTACCAAAGTTAAACACTGTAATGGTACTGGCACAAAACAGTTTTTTTCAAACTTAAATGCAGTTGCTTTTTTTAGGCGGCTGTGACTCAGGAGTTAGAGCGGGTTGCCCGTTAATCGGAAGGTCGGCGGTTCAATCCCGGCTCCTCCAGGCTGCATGTCGAAGTGTCCTTGGGCAAGATACTGAACCCCGAATTGCCCCTGGTGGCTGTTCCGCCAGTGTATGAATGTTAGTTTCTGTTTGCACTTAGGTTCAGTGTGTGAATGCAGATGTAGTGTAAAAGCGCTTTGAGTGGTCGAAAAGACTAGAAAGGTGCTATACAAGTACGGAGCATTTACATCTTTTTCTTAAAGAGAATGAGAATTAAATAAGAAAGGACATTATTGTATTACTTGTATTATTATCTTATAATTCTTAAGCTACTTTCAAAAGGCACTTAACAGATGCCATTACTGCACTGAAGTGGATTTACAGTACCACCTAACACCAGAAATAAGTGAAGCCAAGAATGACAGTTTCTTCTTGTCAACTTTGTCTAAGATGTCAAGGTAAAGAGAGCAGGGTGATTTGTCTCACTTACTGTCGTGCTCCTGAGCAGGTCACTGAAATTAATGCTTGCTCTTGCTGGAGCACCATAAGTCTGGTGGCCATCTGTCGCTCTCCTGTTACATGTATTTGGGTTTTGGTCCCACAGGTTAAAAGCTGTATATTGAACAAAGTTCCACGGAGATGTCTGAAAGATATATATAGATAGATGTGAGCGACGTAAACAGGCAGCAAGTTAATTTTAACATCTACAGGGTGTAACTTCTCTCACCTGCCTGTGCTTCTCTGCAGCATGATTGTCTTGGTTGCCAAAGTGACGCTCAGACCTACTTCCTGTATAAACAAATGACTCATATTCATTATATTATAGACATTTGTCTATAATAGAATGGCTCTAAAGAATTGTGGGGTTCTGTTTCTGCTGCATATAACATACAATTAACAGAGATAAAGTAAATACTTAAAGACATCTGTCTTAAATAATATTCTCATTTATAAAAAAACATTTCCACACAACACCGTAAATTAGGATTATGTTGGTAATAAAAAGAGCATGCAGATAATTTTAGCCCACCAAACTAAATAGTTTTTACAGACATTCCTATAGTGACAACTTTAGCAGAAACACAAATAAAGATGCATTGATTTGAATGATTATTACTTAATGTCTATCACAAATTATAAAATAACTCATAAACCATTTTGAAATAAAAGCTTTTTCTTAACACAGTTGCAGCTGTTCTGATTTGTTTGTCACATTTTTCTGGCATCATGAAATGGCTGCACCATGAAAATTTGGCAGTAGGTCTTTCTGATTTAACAGGTATAATTTAACTGCAACACAAGCAGAGCTGTATCATATTTATATATTAGTAGTTGCTGGAATCCTTCTTTGGTGTGCAGTAGTCTACAGCAACAGTTTTTTGTTAAAGTGAGTAAAAAATCTAATAATAAGAATTGGAGCAAGCCCTTGCATTATAGTATCCATGTGAGAAACAGCTTGTCTAATTCTTATTCTAACTTTACGTTACTACTGGAATTTCAAAGAACTTGACCCTACACAGACTATGATTTAGATGGTTAAGTCAGTCAATTAACACACTTACCAAGGTCAGTAGGCTCCCAGGTCAGGTCCTCTCCGTCTGAATCAGGCAGAGCTCTCTGAAAGATCTTCTTGGGCCGTCTTGACTTCCTGGTACTGCCCACCTGTCTAGGTCTGCCCAGCTGCCTGGTGGGCCCTATGGGTTTAGCTTTGTGAGTCTTCTTATGGTTGTTGAAGCCTTGCCTAGAGTAGAAACTCTTCCCGCACTCGTCACACTGGTAGGGCTTCTCTCCTGTATGAACTCTGAGGTGAACTTTAAGCTCTTCGGCTCTCGTATAACGTTTACCACAGATGGAGCAGAGGTGAAGCCTCTCTCCAGAATGCGACACATAGTGCGATCTCAGAGTAGATTTCTGCTTAAAACTTTTTCCACATATAATGCACAGGAAAGGTTTCTCTCCTGTGTGATCTCGCATGTGATTCTCGAGTCCCTTTGAGGTCTGGAAACCTTTATCACACTGCGAGCACTGGTAGAGCTTCGGGCCCTTGTGCCCAGCTTCATGTTCTTTTAATTTCTGGATGCACATAAATGTCTTGCCACGCTGTGCGCAGGAAAAAGGTTTCTTTGACTCATGGACTTGTTTTAAGTGTTCCTCTAATAGTTGTCTCTCTGAAAATTGTGTCCAACACAAATGACAGAAGCAGATTCGCACTGATGACTGGGCCTCTTCAGGTTGAGGGAAGCTTTTCTCTAATGCTGCCATATTGGTGAATTTCCCTGTTGAAAGAAAAACAAAATTAAGTTCATATATCCCTAATGCTGCAATTAACAATATTTTTTTTTTATTTAACACTACCTGCACAAAATGAAAGACAGACAACATTGGCGACAAGCTGGCGAACATGGAGAGGTGTATTTAGTAGCTAAAGAGACATTTATTTTTCAGGAAGGAGTGGAGACCAAAAACTGAGCAAAAAGAAGAGTAAATATTGGACTTATATTTGACTGAGGCCAAAACATGTTTGCTAACAAGTTAACCAACTACTGGCCAGGAAATAAGTTACTGGTGCTTTGTGGATATTTTTATCTTAGGTTATTGCAAAGACAAAATAGTTAAGATTAAGAACATTTGTACAATATAGATATTCACAGTTTTTCAGCGCAGCAGATCTTGCAGCAACTAAGGAAGCAGCATGTTTGAGTAATGCTTTTGATATATATTTTAAACTACACAGTAGAATCTAAAAAACGTAAAATATTGGACAACCAAATGCCTGTTAAAAAGAGAGACAATCACAGAGAGAAACTGAAACTGCCTGAACTGTAAAAGGGCCGAGACTAGGGACATCAGTGCTCTCACCTTTATGAACCTTCTGGTGTGTTTTAAGGTTTCCAATCTGTGTGAAACCTCTTCCACATGAAGTGCACTTGTACGGTTTCTTCCCTGAGTGAATGATGAGGTGCCTTTTCAGAGAGGCACTCGTAGGAAATTGCTTTTCACATGTTGAACAAAGATAAGTCTTTGGAGGCCTTCGGTCTTCTTCAGGTTCCACAGCCACTGCAGGTGCTGGATGGTAGATCCGCCGATGGACCATCAAGCTTCGTTTAATTTTAAATGTCTGTCCACAGTCGCAGCACTTGTGACATGGATGTTGTCCATGTTTTTCTCTCAGATGGCGGCCTCTGGTGTATATGCTCTGGAAATCTTTGCTGCATTCTGTATAGCCAAAGAGCTCCCCAGCTTCAGTTTTCTTCAGGTGTTTCCTGGGTGTCGTTTTCAGAGGATGGCTATATTCACATGTGGCTGGTGTTGCCGTGTGCGTGTCACGAGGTAATGTAACATCAGGAGCCTTGCCTGCATATATGACACAAAGAAGCTGGTAGGTGTACAGATCATTACCAAAGATTTTAATTTTGGTTTTATTTGCTGAGATATCCACCACCAGAATGTCTACCTCCATGCCAAAACAATGGTGTTCACAACATTGACAAAGAAAATTAAAAAATCAATAGCAACATCTCTTTACAGTATCATAATAGGCTGTATATTAAGTTATTGGGAGAAATCCAGTAGTTCTATGTAAAATCAGACATTGGGCAACCCCATATAGCCAAATGGCATTACCCTCGTTTCACAACGCCTCTGAACATTCGACTGCCAGAGTCTATTTTCTATCAAATCTTCAATCTATCAGCCTTCAACAGGACCAGCATAAATCTCTTCTAAATAAATGTTCTATTTATATCCAAACCAATGAATGTCAATGTATTCATAAAAAAAGAAACACTATTTCCACTTACTGGAGCTTCCAGGATCCCATTCTAACTCTTCTCCATCTGAGTTGATCAAACCACCAACTGCATCTTGTTTCTCTTGCACATTTGTCATGATAGAAGTCTTTTTAGTGTGTGCGACTTTGCATGGCTCATCAGAGAAAAGTTCAACAATAAATACATTTGTCTGGCTTGACTCCTCCATTGCGTTTCTTGGTGTCTGGCACTGATGACTTTGAAGTCTGAATTCTTTTTTGCAAATCTCACAGAAATGTTTCTTGTCGTCATCAGTCTCCTTGGGTTGTTCAGATCTTTCTGCTGCAGTGTGACTGTCCTTTTCATCAAAAAAAAGTTTGACTTCTCCTATAGGACAGAAAAACAAAACAGAATTAATTTCATACAGGTTATGAAGAGTGCAGTATTTAAACTTTCTCAAGTGTAGTACTCATCTCCTCTAATCTTCTACTCACCTGGTTGACTGGGACTCCAGACAACTTCAGCAAGTAGACTGGAAACTGCTCCACAGTTTATCCTCAGTTTTTAACTGTAATGAAACTATTTCATGTTCAGTCTTAGTTCCATACAAAGGACTTTGACCACAGTCACTTCCATTCCTGTGAGATTTTATGTTGTCATCTTTGGGTCGGTGTCCATCACGAGATGTAACGTTACTGGCAGGGCTGTGCTTCCAGGGTGTACTCAGATAAGAGATCAGACCTGGTTCTAAATCCCCAGGGGAGAGCTTGGCCGGGGCATTTACAGGAAGATTCCTAAAAGAGAGAATTTTCAATAAAAAAAAAAGATTTACAGTTTAGTTCTGTCACTGTAAATTTTGCTTCAAAGATAGCCAAATGTACAAACAGCCCTTTAGAGCGCGATGAATAACGTTACATACGAAGAAGAAGTAGTAAGGTTAGCAGCACTAGTGGTCAACTGGTTTATTAGAAGTAAGCAAAGAACACATATTATTTAGCACAACAACCGACATGTGTGCTGCAAAAGGTGGGGCTGAGCAGTGTATTCATGTGGTGTCGGAATAACCAGACTCTTTTTTTACACCTTACATCTTTATTGCAAAAAGAAAAATAAAGTGTACATGGGACATAAAGAAGTATACAAAACTTTGATTTGTGCAAAATCACATATTGCATATACATATTTTGCAAACAAGTAATTTGTAATATGGTATGTGTATAACAGTTAGTTTGCTGTCCATGTTGAGTGAACTAGATGTCTGCGTGTTGTTTATGCTCTGATAATGCTAATCCATCACATCTTTGTAGTAGCGTACATGTTGATTCCACATTCAAACTTAAGAGCACATGAACACACGCTGAAGTCTGAAGAATGACTTCACAACTCGGGAAATGGGACCACCCGAGGAGCACGTGAATGCCCCGTGAATCGCTGGTTGCAATTTGCAACCCTCATCACCATGGTCCCCACCACTTTTTATGTGCCTCAGCACATATGTAGTCTGATATATGTGCTGCCTCAGCACATATGTAGAAAAGAATAGAAGAATAGAATAGAAAAGTTGATCTACAGGAGAAACAGATCTGAAAGCAACACGAATGCCTGAGAGCTGCACTGACTTATATTCTATTATATTTAAATATTTTGAAATGTCACGTGCCACCTGAATTTTGTGTTTCCTTTTACATAAATAAAAACATTTCCCACCTTAAACTGCTCAGGTATCTCGGCATTGAGGATATCTTTAAAACACTGTTTAAGGATGTTTTCGTCTCCTTCTTGTGAACCTAACATCGACTATCGTGATGTCTCGCGAGCAAAGTGTCTCTTCACACCCCTAATCTGAGACCCTATTCCCCACCACTTTTCAAGACAAAGTGACGCCCTTGCTCATCACTAGATTCCACTAAAACTTACCCACTGAACCTTTAAATCATAAACAAAAAAATTAAACAGAATTCCTTTCATTCTTGACATGTCGCCATTAATAAATCAGTGTATTATTTAATGATGATCTGAAGTATTCAAATACCAGATATAAATTATCTCAGCTCTCCAGACAGTTCTGACATCGAATTGGTATAAACAGACAATCATCAGTGAGCCCGGTGCTGTACAACTGTTTAATGTGCATTTTCTCTATAGATATGTAGGAAAAGCAGGGAAAAGCACAGGTGTAATTATTATTATAACAACTGCATTGCATTGACAGCAGGTGAGAAGTGTGAGCCCTGCTATGGTGCAGGCTCACACTCACACTGAGCCATCATTAATGTCATTAGTTACAGTTGTGCTTTCCGCACTTCCCCTGAATAGTAAAAGCCTAGCATATTGCACCATCTATTGCTAGTGTCACTTTGTTAGCTTTTGTTTTCACAGAGTTGTCCCTACTTTCTAAATGACTTCTGTAATGCTTTATTGTACTAATCCATGGTTTACTAATAATTTACTAACGAGTTTCTTGAAAAAAAAAACTATGTAATGTAACGTTAGTACTAATTTAACAGAAAATAGAAACATTTATGAAGGACAGCTTAAATTCAAACATGTATTTATTTATTATTCGTAAGGGTGTTTTTCAAACATGTTTAATTGTATGCTTGATGTAACGTTAGACAAACTTCACAGTCCACAATGAAAATAATCAGTTGCAGTCAAAATCGCTTTAGCTCCACCTGAAAAGACCACAGTAAAAAAAAAAAAACCTGCTTTTATATTAATGCATGGATAACGTTAATGATAATCTAATGGTATAACTAATATTTTCAATCAAAGACTTTTAGTTGTATCGGAGAATTTCTTAAGTGCGGTATTAGTACTTTTCCTTGTGTAAATGATCTGAATACTTCGTTCATCACTGTCTAAACCAGAAAACCTGATGTTTCTATATCAGACTGTCTCTTCTCTGCTCAGACACGCCTGCACTGCAGCATGACGGCAGCTCAAACATACACACCTTGATATTAGAGGACTGGCTAACAGCTAGCTAGCGAGTTTCACTGGCTCTGCCGCTGCGGACAAATTTATAATACTCACCTCATTCATGTTGCCTTCAAATCACCACGTTAGCTTGAACCTACGTCCCTGAGTCTCAGTCTCACCACTGTGCATGTACCAAAACGTACTGATTTTATATCTTTGTACAAGCTTGAAGCTGTGATGCACTACAACTGCTAACATGAGACGCTAAACGGAGGCAAGCTAGGTTCAGGGTTGCCAGATGGGAGGACTGAGACAAGCAACCAGAGCTGTTAAACAGCCCAGAAGTCTGCTAACATCCATAAAACACATTTTTCACTTAAGTCACTTCATTTTTAAAATTATCACACGGATTAACTACAGTTTTTTTTTGTTTTTATTTACTAAATTACATGTGGATCCCTTGTTTTCGCAGCAACTAAACGCTTTTAATCTCAATGCATGAACGTTAACTAAATATACATACCGCGGTGAAATTAGTTTTAAGTTGGATATTCGACAGACATTCACCCAGGATCCAGTGACGGCTTTTCAGTCAGTTCACCCAGTGACGGTTGTATAAGTGCGGTTAGCTCACCTCTGATGGCTCGCTTTTAACCAACGGGGGTTAGCTTAGGGACCATCAATAAATTACAATTGTGAAAACAGTGTTATGGGAAAATCATTATTTATTTCAATAGCTTCCAAGTCATGTGACGCAGGGATTTCAAACCAATGCCGAATTGTAGTACTACACTGGGCAAATGAGACACACCCCTTCATATTTGATTTGAGTGCATTTTTTATTTTATATGAATATTTATTCATAATTTATGTAAAATAATGCCTTTTTTTTCAATAGCTTCCAAGTCATGTGACACAGGGACTTCAAACCAATGCCGAATTGTAGTACTACACTGGGCAAATGAGACACACCCCTTCATATTTGATTTGAGTGCATATTAAAATTTATATTAATATTTATTCATAATTTATTGAAAAAAGGGCTGTTTTTTTTCAATAGCTTCCAAGTCATGTGACACAGGGACTTCAAACCAATGCCGAATTGTAGTACTACACTAGGAAAATGAGACACACCCCTTCATATTTGATTTGAGTGCATTTTTTATTTTATATGAATATTTATTCATAATTTATTGAAAAAAGGGCTGTTTTTTTTCAATAGCTTCCAAGTCATGTGACACAGGGACTTCAAACCAATGCCGAATTGTAGTACTACACTGGGCAAATGAGACACACCCCTTCATATTTGATTTGAGTGCATATTAAAATTTATATTAATATTTATTCATAATTTATTGAAAAAAGGGCTGTTTTTTTTCAATAGCTTCCAAGTCATGTGACACAGGGACTTCAAACCAATGCCGAATTGTAGTACTACACTGGGCAAATGAGACACACCCCTTCATATTTGATTTGAGTGCATATTAAAATTTATATTAATATTTATTCATAATTTATTGAAAAAAGGGCTGTTTTTTTCAATAGCTTCCAAGTCATGTGACACAGGGACTTCAAACCAATGCCGAATTGTAGTACTACACTAGGCAAATGAGACACACCCCTTCATATTTGATTTGAGTGCATTTTTTTTTATATGATATTTATTAGTATTTTATGGACAAAATTTTTTGCGTACATTTGTGAGATATGCAACTGTTTGTTTATTGCCAGGAAATTTTTGAAGAACACACCAATAAAACAAAATTTCAACAATTTAAGGCAGGTCTGTACAATGATTCAGGTTGACTAATATCCCAAGGAGCAGTAGGTGGCGATAATGCACCTGTACTTGAATGACAATCTCATATAATTTGCAAAGAAGAAGAACGAGGTAGAAGACAGTGTAGAAAAATAGACAACAAGGAAAAGGAGTTTGCTCTTTAAAAACAACATGGGGCGTTTCAAAAAAGGCCAGAGGCAGAGGAGTACAGATCTCTGGCAAAAAGCTGGAGGTAGAGATGTTATAATCAGGTCTTTCATTTTTCATGGTTTTACTGAGGTAAATATTACACCTGAACAGTGGAGCTCAGTCACACTTACTCTGTTTAAAAACAACAACAAAGATCATCTAAAGTGGTTGAAAGTCATATGGTTTGAAGACAGACGAGCAGTCCGGACAGAGGTGCTTAATGCAGGTACTGTTACAATTAAGTTGTTGAGCCCCCAGAAGTTTTGTAATATTAGCTTAATTTTTGGTTAGACTACATCAAACTAAAGCAATTTGGATGTAATTAATAGAAATAAAAAAGGGAGTAATAGAATAGAAATTGTGAATTAATAGAAATTCACTATTCACTATTTCATGTCAAAATATTGGGTCAGTCTCCATCATAACCAAGAATGTCATTATTTTTTAAACCTATATTTATTCACTGTGGTTGAATTAAAAATTTGATTTGCTTATGTTTTTTAGGTTTGACATATTTTTTAGTTAATTTAGTAATTAGATTAATTACTTTTGGGATATTTTTATGTTTAGGAAAAGAAGTCACTGAGAGAGAAAGGCTTGAGGAGACAGCTAAAAAAGACGAACATTACAAGGTTAAGAGAAAGGAGACAAGGAGCAAAGCTCTGCAGACAAGTAACAGACAAGAGAGCAGAGTAACTGACAAACCAGATAAAGACACGGACAATGGAGAAGAACTTGTAGCAGTGTAAACATAGAACAGATACCAACAGGTGAAGAAGACAGGGACAGTACACCTGATGAGAGCAAAACGTGTACCACACAGCTGCAGCCTGACACAGAGAGTCGAGAAGAGGGTGAAAAAGGTCACAAAAGGCAGACAATGGAAAGGGACAAACAAGGACCAAAGAACACAGAGTCTGATAAAGAAAGTGACAAAAAGACTGATGAAGAAGAAGAGCTTAGCAGTGTAAACATAGAACAGATACCAACAGGTGAAGAAGACAGGGACAGTACACCTGATGAGAGCAAAACGTGTACCACACAGCTGCAGCCTGACACAGAGAGTCGAGAAGAGGACATAGATGCATATAAGAAGACTTTAGGCCAGACAAATGAAAAAGTCCTTCCTAAAAGTAAAAGTGGGAAAGGAAAGGGAAAACTGAGAACTAAAACAGATGATCACTTTGAGCAAACTGACTACAGAAAGTGCAAAGCAGGCCCAAAAGTGTTTAAAATTGTGATAACAAGAAAACAATGGAACAAAATTAAACCTAAACATGGGGGAACAAAACTCATTCCCCCATGGACCGATACATTTTATCATGCATTTCTGAAAAAAATCCATGCTGTACACTTGCTTTTAAATATCAGCATGTCAAGACAAGCGATAGCCGTAAAAAGAATTCCTCATTTTTCCGTGCCTCAGCTCAATGTGCATTTGATGGATGCAAGGCTGTCTACGTTTTCTCCAAGAAAAACAAACCAAAATCAAAGGATAAAAATATTTCCTTTAAAGTGAAGCGCAATGGGGAAGTAACACACCATAAAAATCAAACACGATCTAGACCAGCAAAATACCTGCGAAGAGGGAAGATTGCCAAAGCTCTTACCAATGGTGTCAGTAATTATTATTACTGTATGCTGAAAAAGACACCTGTTGAAGAGATCATGGCTGGGAACATAACTAGAAGCCTCACCAAGGATGTTTTGAAAAAAATATCCTCTGAAGTGAGGAAGAGTGCTAGGCTCCATAACGACATGATGCTTGAACTCATGCTGACTCAAAAAGTAATTGCAGAGAGCAGCAGTCATGCATCATCAAAAGGCTATCTTCAGCACCTACAAATAAGTCCTTTTGCTGTACATTTACACACAGAAACTGGAATAAAGATTCTTGCTGAACACCTAAGAAGACCAACACCCATCACCCTCTACCTTGATGCTACAGGTGGCGTGGTTCAGAAAATCCCGGATCAAAATAAACGAGTGTTATATTATGCTCTCGTTTTGCCAGGCATGGGCAAAGACAAGCCTCCCTTACCTGTCACAGAACTGATTTCCAACAGCCATTCTATTCCATCTATTTCCCATTGGCTCATGGAATTCACAAGGAAGTTGTCTCACACAACAAAAAGACAAATAGCACAAGTCGAGACAGATTACAGCTGGGCTCTGATTAACAGTATGCTCATCTCCTTCAACAAGGAGAATATTTCAGTGTACCTTGCCAGAGCATTTGATATAGTGTCTGGACAAAGTGAACCTATTCCCCACTTCACTGTGCTGCATTTGTGCTCTGCCCATATCATGAAGGCTGTATCCCAAGCATTTGGCAAAAAAACAGGAGACAGAGGCATACATGAGTTTGCCGCATTCAGTTTTGCTTACCTCCTCAACTGCACAAGTATGCAGGTGGCCCTTGAAGTTTTTTATCACATGTGTGTGCTTTTTGATGCAGAGGAGTACACTCATTCGGTAAACCAGAGCAAAATGTACCTCAACAAGTGTGTTTTGCAAACCCAGGACATGAAGCTGGAAGAAAGTGGACATGTCATTGGAGAGGAGGAAAGACCAAGTGAGAAACCTGCTGACAGTATTTTTGGAAAATCACCTTTCACACGTGCTTTTCAAGTCAGACGGGACCAAGCTGAGTGTGACATCCTGTCAGATGATGCAGTTGGCATTAAAAACCATTACCACTGTCCGGGTGTCATCGATGTGCTGTTAAAAAACTACATGGGGATCTTACCGTTGTGGAGTGGTTTGTTGCTCGGGGATCTGTCACGGCATGGAAAAATCAGAACCTGTAAAACAGATGGAAGTGCCAAAACTAGGGATACCAACTGTCATGTTGAGCTCTGGTTTGGTTTGGTCAAACACTCCATCCTTTTAAAGAAAAGGTACCTGAGACCAGCAGAGTTCATTTCCAAAATGTTTGCCTCAATCCAAGGAAGATATATAGAGCACATTGGGCAACATAATTTGCCAATGCAGATTTTGGATAAGAACTTTGCAAGTTGTAGCAGGCCAGATGATGACCATGAAGAACAATGGAACAAGCGGGACAGCTCTGTTGGTCACTCCAGGTCCAAGTCAAAGTACTTCAATCCACCCAAAACACTATCAAAGCCCAAGAGCCCACATGCTGCAAAAGTAAAGAGAAGAGGAAAAAAAGTGGATCAGGATCAATCAGATAAAGACAAAAAGGTAAATATATTTGAAATAATAAACATTTTACCAAAAAATAAGTATAGTATAGGCTTGACTGGGGAAAAGTGCAGGAGAAAGGACATGAAGCAATATAGTATAATATGAATTTTGGTCAGTGTTTCAAAAAAGCGATCCATATGATTTATCATGTAAATTTATTTTCGGACATACATTTCCCAATAAATGGGAACATGTTGTAAAGGTACAACTACTAGGCCGTTCATCCTCAAAACCTTAAAGGTTAGGTATAAAGTACAAAACTGCTTGTAAATACACTATATAACATGGTATAAATAGAAGAAGAAAAACACTACA